AACCCTGACCCTAAACCCTAAACCGCAGATGGTCACATCTCCTTAGACGAGCTTCGGAGTATGCTCTCGGGTGGCGGTCCTCTGTCTGCCGCGCGTGGCCCCAGCTTCCTCGTGGGGTTTAGAGTTTAGAGTTTGGGGCTTGTGGGGTTTCTGGTTTAGGGTTTGGGGCTTGTGGGGTTTCGGGTTTAGGGTTTGGGGCTTCTGGGGTTTCTGGTTTAGGGTTTGGGGTTTGGGTTTCGGGTTTTTGGGGGTTTTGGGATCAGGAGGGCTTTAGGAAACGGAGGCCTTACGTGGGTGATACTTTTTTTTTGGGGAGTTTTTATCAGGGTACAGGGCCGCAGGTTTAAGAACGAGCTTTAAGAAACTGCTTTGAAACTGTTCGCAAATGGTTTAAAGGGGTTCAGAGCGGGTTCGTAGTGCTTTGGGCGTATGAAGGGGGGTCAGGGTCTGTTCATTACATTACATGGGTCTTTGCAAAGGGGGTTGTAGGATTCGGTGGTTTAAAGGCAGTGTTAAACTCAGTAAAATGACCCCGCGGCATCTTTGCTTTTCCCCTGTTTTTGAAGAAATTTGACGACCCACAATGTCTAAGCCATTGGCCGGGGTAATTGCACGCTGCCGCGACGCAGCCGAGTCAGGGGACGATGCAAACATCTCGCCGGAGGTAAACCAGGCCCTGGCTGAGTGGATGGATCCTTTGAAGAAGGGAGTAATTGGAGAGGCAAAACGCCGCGAGCTCCTCGAGAAGGTCGAGGGAGCGAGGAAGGCAACGGATCCAACGGCACGACAGATTGTAGTGGCAGTGCACAGCCAGCTGAAGACAGAGACGGAAGGCTCAACAGCAGCACTGCCACTCAAAGTAAAGGTGGACAAGATCGGAGGAATTTTGAGCTCAATGCCTGCGGTGCCTCAGAACATAGAGAAGGTCACTGAGGCGGTCCAGGCGTTGAAGGATGATTCTCAGCACGGATATGCATGCTGTGTGCACTCGGAAGAGTTCAACCATCACATGCAAAAAGAGCCCTTAATCCTGGACCCTAAGCCCTCAACCCTAAACCCTAGACCGGCTGTCCCCTTAAGGGCTTTAGAATCCTGGCTGCATGAAGTTCCATGAGCTGATTCGGAGTTGGCATCTGGGGGTTTAGGGTTTAGGGTTTAGGGTTTAGGGACTTGTGTCTACAGGACATTTTCAGGTGGGTAGTTACCGTTATAGGAGCCTTATGGAAGGCTGTCTATATACCTTATGGAAGCCTTATAGAAGCCCTACATACCCTAACTCCCCACCTGTAGTTTCCTTGAATTGCGGGCTTAGAGGGCTTAAAGCTGTTGTAACCTAGAAGATTCCCCAAACGAATACAAGGAGCTACGAGCTTAAAGCGAGAAGCCCCGTTCGGACTTGGTACTCGCATGCCGGTCTAGAGATTTTGGGTTTGAAAGCTTTGGTTATCAGGGAGAGCTCCACAAACCTCAAGACCCAAAGCTTCAGCCATAAATTGGCCCGCCCAACCCACGCCCCGTCTTGCGCTAGAAAGCTTTTCGCTCCTCAATCGACCCTAACTCCCTAAGGCTTAACCCCGAAATCCCCACAAGACTACGATGCCGTCGAGTTCGAACTCAAGCCACCGACCGCGCTGCTCCAAACACCACCCGCAGAAAATCTGCGCGCCTCGGCATTTGGCGTACGAGGCAGGAAAGATCGGATGTGGGTCTCTCAGGGGCACAGGAACCCTTCTTGTTCAGGGTTTAGGGTTTTAAGGGTTTAGGGTTTGGGGTTTTAAGGGCTTAAGGTTTAAGGTTTAGGGTTTTCAGGGCTTGGGGTTTAGGGCTTTTAAGGGTTCAGGGTTTACGGGTGTTTAAGAGCTCAGGCCGGTCAGGGATTGAGGTTTGAGGTTGACAGGGTTTACTTACTCGCGCCGTGTATGCAGAGCAGGTCAGGATTTAGCGGTTGAGGCTATAAGGCTTAGACGTTAGGTCTGAAGGTGTTGTGTGCAAGGTTTTAGGGGTCTAAAACTGAAACGTTCAACAACTGCGGAACCCCAACTAGCCTTCATCAATCTCACGAAAAGGACAGTGAGTCGTCCACCTATAGGGCTCCCGTTGAGGTTCCATGGCAGCTTCACTCCTGTTTCGAAAGAGGGGCACTCGAGAGGTACCAAAGTTGGGTGTCGGCCGACACACAGAACGCAGCAGGACGAACTGGTAAACGCTGTCATCCTAAACCGTAAACTTCCTAAAGCCTAAACCCTCTATAAACACTTGGTTCACGGTCCTAGTTTCGGGGCGCCCACAACCACCAAAGATTCGCGAACTTCGAGGTCCTCGGCGTTGTTCGGAAAGTTCCATCCGCTCCCCGAGCGCTTCCTGCAGAAAGCTGAAAGCCTGAAGCCAAGGAATCCACCAAGCCTCGACACCCTAAACCTTATAAGCCCTATAAGCCCCATAAACCCTGAACCCTTAGCCCTCAGCCCTAAACCCTATAAACCCTATAAGCCCTATAAGCCCTATAAAGCCTGAATCCTAAGCCCTCAGCCCTAAGCCCCAAGCTCAATACAAAGCCACCAAAAAACAAAAAAATCCCTCGAACCCTTCATCCCCTCAAGGCCTCACTGCCACTGCTTGAGTTGGGGGGGGCCTCCTCTTTTAAAAAAAGACTTCTGGGTGGTTGTCAAAATTATGGTCCCTTTTTGGGTCCGTAATATAATACGGCACCTAATATTCAGGGCACCCAAAAAGGGACCCTAATTGTGAACCACCCATCTGTGTGTAAAAAAGGGACCTCAGTAAAAAGATTAGGGCTCTGGGGGTGTGCTATGCTACATGGCCGGGGGACGCCTCGTTGCCGCAGGCTGTCATGGCGGTAGCGGAAGACTGGCGGAGAGGCCGGGTAGGGATTAGGTGCACCTGGGCCTCCCCCGAAACCCTAAACCCTAAACCCTAAACCCTAAACCCTAAAACCCTAAACCCTAAACCCTAAACCCTAAACCCTAAACCCTAAACCCTAAACCCTAAACCTAAACTAGCCTTGAAAAGGAGTCCTAAACCTTCAGAGCCCTAGAACCGCATGGGGGCCTTGAGGTGTTATGGGTTTCTGTAGGATGTCCAGTGCTGAGGGGCCCAAGTGTGTGGGGCCCTTTCAGGGTTTAGGGTTTAGG